TTTCAATACTTCGGAATATTTATCGAGCATATATATATGCGCAAAGAGAGTGAAACAACCATTTGCACAGTCTACTATTACTTTTGGATATATCTCGTCTGTGTACATTCGATGGTTGAGTGCATATTTCTACTGAACTGTATTCGACATCTACTGTGTGCCATATGCAAAAATTGTAAAAGTATATTCGGAAACAAAAACTAAAAATGTAACAGTTAAACGAATTCTTTTGTAACATGACTGAACTTATATTATTTTTTATTGTAAGCTACATTTACAATTATGAAAGTCTGCTTATCTGTACACTTGTAAATTGATCAGAAAAATCAATTTCACATACACATAACAACTAAGAAGTATATGATTAACAGTAAAAATATTCGCCTCGCGAAACATCCGTAGAGCTTCATTCGCATAGTTTTTTCATCACATGCAGTATCTTATAATAGCTTAAGCGAATAAGTTACATGTTATAATCTGAGACTGTTATAAAAATAAATCAGTGAAATTATATTAAATATATCTTTCGCTAGATTTAATTGTCTTATTTATTATTATACCATTTTCATTAAATAGGCCATTTTTTATAGACTTATATTTAATTTGTCTTTGTATTTGCTAATTTCTAGATTCATAAAATAAGATCACATAATTTTCATCCCCTTGATTCAACTCTTTAAATTTCTCAATTTATTTCCTAGGCACACGATTTTTTTCACAGTTTCGTAAAACCCTTTTCAGCAGACAGCACATAAAGTTTTAATCTGATTTCAAATGTCGGAGCTATACGTTTATTAGTGTGGTTTCATCGAAAGCTCCCGCGCGTGACATCAACCCGTTCGATAGGCAAGGCTTTGATCAGCGGGAAGATACGAAGTGGGTCCACGCCGATTGACATTTGAATGACTCTTAATGTCGATTGCGGCTATCGTTGTGACGATAGGATCGATCAGGCTGTTTACTATGGGGTGTTGATTACGTGGTCGGCAGAAAACAGGAACGGGATTCTTTTCGAGAGCCGAGAATAGCATGGGAACGAGCGGATATCGCGTTTCGTAGGCAGCCGCGGTGACGACGGCGGAGGGTAAGTTTCGGGACGATAGCCAAAGTCCCCAAGCAATTATAGAATTGGATTGGATCGGGGAGTTCGGGAAGGTGGTCGGTACCGCCGCTGAAATCGGTTTCGTTTTATTTTAGCTTAGCTGTCGAAGGCATCCGGTTGTGCATTCTCCCCGCGGATCATCGTCACGATCACAGTAAGTGTCCTCTTTAATAGGAATTCCTCTGCTCATCCAGTATCACCGCGTGAAATTTATATTAAACGGGTGATGATTAATAGGGTGGTATATGTAAATACATTGAGCGTTGAATGACGGGGTGAAATCTCACGGCGAGTAACATCGAAGTTCTTGTGATTGCACCACTCTTGTCGTCCTTCTTTTAGTCGCTATATTTAAGGTACGGATTTTGCTCACTGCGAATAATTAAGATATTTGTTTAGAATTTTTGATTAAAATCAATTAAAACATTCGCATTTTAATTATATAGAAAGAACGGTAGCTAAAGTAGCTAAAAATGTATAACTAAATTTTCGACAAATAATTTTGTTGAACTATCAAAGTAATCATATAAGATGCTCAAGCTGGTTGCTAGATTGTCAAAACTTGTTGCAGCATTGTTCATCTTACTTGAATTTTTTCCATAATTTTATTTTGATGGCCCAACAAAATTTTCAGATCTGTATATGTACTTAAAATTTTAAATATTTCGAGAAAATAGTTCTTTCTGTGTAAGTGCGCGATTTATGAATTTTATCTGCTCTGATCGCGCATTTGTTAACGTAATTTCCATCTTTCATATTCATCGTCTAAAATTGCACTTTAGCTTTACGAGATAAATGTGATATCCAGAATAACTGATAAGGGGAAAGTCCAAAATCGCTCATTACGATGGAGGCGATCAAGAAGAAAATTGCGGCGTTGAAGCTCGAGATGGATGCCGCAAACGAAAAGGTCGAAGTCAACGAGACGAAAGCGAAACAGGAGAATATAAGAGCAGACAGGCTGAACGATGACCTCAGCGATCTACAGAAACGATTGTCGCAATTGGAACGAGATTATACTGTCACTAAAGCTAACTTAGAGCAATCTACTGCCGATCTAGAACAGTGCGAGAAATCTTGGTCTAAAGTATGTAATATGATTAATAGATTTTCTAAGATCTTCCACAAAGCAAATTTCTTTTTCATAAACTTGTGATAGAATTTCTACAATGAAAACAATTTTTTAAGATAATATGTTCTATTGAAACTCAACTAATGAAGCTATTATAAGAAGCGATCAAAGAAGCTGTAACAATCAGTATTTTAAGTTCCAATACACACGTATTTAAAGAATCTTTTATCACATATCAATTAATCGTGTTGTACAGGCTGAACAAGATCGTACCGTTTTAACGAAGAGAGTGCAAGAGATTGAAGCGAGTCTGACTAAAAAGGAGGAACTACGTCTTTCTGCTACGTTAAAACTGGCACGTGCAACCGAACTTGCGGACGACGCACAGAGGTTTATAAATTCATTGTCATCAGATTTTCATGTTTTATTCAGCCAAAAATGACTGGTCGAATTGACGTTGATTAATTATATAGTGCTATGGACGTTAATTGAAATCGATTTGACTAATTTCTTAATTATTTCTACGGGGTACAAATGTAGTGCATATACATAAAATAAATAGACAAATTATATAAAGCAGGATTCGACAAAGCAATAATGCTGTATCTTTTTTTATATACAGAATGTGTAACGTTTTGGCAGACAGGAGTCGTTTGGACGAGGAACGTATGGAGAAGTTGATGTCGGAATTAAAGGATGCTAGATTAATCGCCGAAGACGCCGATGCGAAATCTGATGAAATAGCCAGGAAATTGCAGTTCGTGGAGGAAGAATTGGAAGCTGCTGAAGAAAGAGTGAAGACTAGCGAGGCGTATGTATAATAATTGTATTATATATGTATAGTTATATTTATATGACACATTATATATATATATATGTACATTTATTATATGTACATATTATACATATATACTTATATATATATATAATATATGTGAATCCTTTTAAAGAAATATTTTTTGTAGAAAAATCGTGGAACGTGAGGATGAACTCTTCATCGTACAGAATATCGTGAAGTCTCTCGAAGTGTCCGAGGAAAAGGTGACGTAATATAATACGCTGTGATAACAATTAGTCGCAACGGCACTTCTCCATTATTTTGATTTTAGGCGAATCAACGGGTAGAAGACTTTAAGGTACAGTTGAAATCCTTGAAAAAGAAATTGAAGGAAGCGGAAAAACGCGCAATCACCGCTGAAAGGACGGTGAAAACTTTACTAAAGGAAGTGGACATGAAAGAAGGTAGGAACGTTCTCGAAGCTTTTATTTTTAATCAGTAAATTTAATCAATATTTTTGGTAAATTAAAAAAATAATGTTTCTATTCTTTCTTTTCTATATCATTGAGAAATTGTTTGTTTTAGACGAACTCAGAGAAGAGAAGGAAAAGTACAAGGCGGTCTGCGACGATATGGACGCGACGTTCGCCGAGATGACAGGATACTAAAGTCCTGCGAACGGATTCGATTTGACTCTCGTTACTACTTTTAACTGCTGCTGCTTCCCGCCGCTTATTCGCTATTTATTGCTATTCATTTTTTAGTTCAACTCGCTATGCTAAATGCCGCTTATATCGCAATGCCGATTTGTTTTGCCTTATGAAGTGCCGTGAACGATATTAGAAATAACTCGCTTCGCGCAATAATCTACTGATGGACAAGGCAATGCCATGCGGCTTGTTACTATAATTGCTTCGCTTTGTGCAATACCTTGCCAAGATCGGCAACTAGTTCACGGTCGTTCGTTATTCGCTGTGTTGATCGAAGATTCAAGATTTCGTCTATTTCTTTTTCTTTCAGAGATGTTGGAGGGATTTAGTGTCGTACGCGCGAGCGAGACCACGATATCGTGCATCCTTTCTACATTTAATGTAAAATCTGTATTTTCAATAAACAGTATCACATATTCTCTAATGAGTTTTCATTATTTCATGCATCGTGCTGTCAATAGACTAGAATAAAGTTTTAAAAAATGACTAAATAAATAAATGATAGAAGTGAGTAGTAACATATTGCTTTTCAGTATAATATTAATATTATTAATAATATTAGGAAAATTAATTATCAATTATTATTAATTAAATTAATAATAATAATAATAATACTAATAAATATTTCTTTAATATTAAATACTATTTATGACATAGATTGACGAAAGATATAACTGCGAAATTGAAATTGTATGAGTATTAACATTTACGCGTTAAAAATATTGTAAAAAATATACAATTCTAAATCGTATAGTAAATCCAAAGATATGTCTGTTATTTTTAATTATAAAATATATATAGCATGTGCTTTTAAAACCCATCTTAAATAGTAATTGTTAAACAAATATAACGCAAAGTAAATGTTTGTCGACCAATGTATCTGCGATCGGCAACGATCATGGGCACCACTGTTTTAAGAAGTCGAAGAATTCGTTTGAGCCTAACTAAAGCGACTGATGTTTTTGTCCTTTTGCATTGCATTAAGCCTATAAAACATTGTTCCCGTCGGTCACTGAATACAGTAACTCACGGGCATTGCATTTTGATACTTCGTTTCTGTAGTAATTAAAAATTCTGTTAACAGGGTGTAAAGCTCAAAATTATCATTATTTGTGCGCGACAAAAAGATACTTCAAAGTGGAAGTGTTTCACACGGAACCATTTTTGAAAAAGCATTCTTGATTGCAATTAAAGAATATAAAACGTAAAAATAATTATCGTAAATTGAACATATAGAAAATAATAAAAGTCTTTGCCACACGATAAAATCAATTAAGTATAATAAAAATCTAATTCTTGCGACTTAATACAGTTATTAAAATAATTCGCTTGAAAGCAACAATTTATCTATTAAAATTTCTATTAGCGTCATTGATTAAAAAGAATATTTCTAATTAATTTCCAACGAAAACATGAATGCCATTAAAAAACGGCTGCAAACGCTGAAGCTCGAGAAAGATCTCGCGATGGACAAAGCTGACCTGTGCGATCAGCAGGCAAAGGAGGCAAATCGAAGGGAAGAAAAATTAAGGGATGAGGTTCGTGAATTGGCCAAAAAGTTGGTGCAAATGGAGCATGATTTGGAAGTGAGTAAGGCCCAACTGATAAAGTCAAACAGGAATCTCGAGATAAAGGAGAGAGTCTATATCGTGGTTAGTGAATTGATTAAGAAATATATCACGCACATCCAAATTCAATTTGTCTTTACGTCAATTGTAAAATTGCAGACGCAATCGGAACTGGCGGTACTTAATAGAAAAATGCAGCAATGCATGCAGAATTTAGAAAAGTCGGAGGAGCGACGTTTGTCGGCTCAAGTAAAGCTCGCGCAAGTCATAGAAACTGCTGAAGACGCAAAGCGGTATATTTCTATATAAAATTTACTCTGTAAAAATTTACTCTGTAAATTTTTTGCTATGAAATGTTTTTTTTACTGGTATATATAATAAATATTTTATATTAATAAATGTTATAAAAATCACTGTAGAGATTAAATTTTTATTGATACAATTATATCGATTGTTTTACAAGAAATATATGATAAGCTATTATAATCATAAAATTATTCTTACTCAGCATCTGCAAAGTCCTAGAGAACAGGAGTAAACAGGATGAAGAGAGGATGGATCAGTTGATGGCGCAGCTGAAGGAAGCGAGACTCATTGCTGAAGACGCTGACACGAAATCGGATGAGATTTCGAGAAAATTGGCATTCGTTGAAGACGAGCTGGAAGCGGCGGAAGAAAGAGTTAAATCGAGCGAGGCGTACGCGACTCTCTAAATATAGCGATTACGTTCTTTTCTGTTGAATCTTTTCTTGCTTCTTTATTTTCAGTTTAAACGGGAATATTTCACAACATATCCTACTTTTCAAGATGTTTTACTTTTGCATGAAAAGTTTCTATATATTTATTAAATCGTGTGCATGGAAATTTCTTTTAATCAAATAAGTAAATAAGAAGACCACATTCGGTTAAAGAGGACTTTACTGAAGAATATTTGTGTGTGAATTTTATAATTTCCAGTCCAAGTAAATTGCGCACTGATATTATTTGTTGATCTTGAAACACAACTTACTTCCTAAATTAAAGCTGAATTACGCAACATCATTAAATTAAATTAACAAGCAATAAGTTAATAATAGAAGCTAATGAGCATCCTTAAAATACTGTAAAGAATTTATTGCAAAAAGTTTTCACTTAATATTGCTTTTTTATTTAAATCTTTTTTATTTAGCTTAAAAGATTTTAACATGTTTGACGTTATATTTTATAGGAAAATTCTCGAGAGGGAGGATGAGTTATTCATCGTTGGCAATATATTCAAGTCCTTGGAGGTGTCCGAAGAGAAAGTAGACATTTTTTCATACTAATAATTTATATTTTTCATATTTAAAAAATTAAGACTGCATAAAGAGATTGTTTGTTGCAGGCTAACCAAAGGGTGGAAGAGTTCAAAGCACAGTTAAAGGAATTAAAAGTAAAATTGAAAGCTGCTGAAAAGCGTGCCATTATCGCTGAGAAAACTGTCAAGATATTCACGAAAGAAATGGACAAGAGGGAAGGTACTAATCATATTATGCATTTTTTATAGATTTTAAATTTTCAAACTTGTTAAAATGATATCAATCGTTATTAATAAATTGTTGTTTACGTTTTAGATTATCTACTAAAAGAAAAGGAAAAATACAAATATATCTGCGACGATTTGGACTCCACGTTTTCGGAGCTTACGGGATATTAAAATAGTCAATAGATTATGAATCGTTCGATTATATCGGTCGTTAATCAGGAGATTCGTATTGCACAAAAACATAAATATAAATTTTCACATTTATCAAATATCTTATGAGGTTCGCCCAGAAAATCGATCCTATGTTTATTTTACACGATATCAATTTATTTAATCGATTCTACGATCGACACAATGCATCGAAATGTCGTACCACAGATTTAATACAGTTTATTTAAATTTAATCGACAATTCGTTTTAATCATACAATCTCCGATCGCAGAACGGAGAAAGAATTTGCGAGCTTCTTCACTTTATGGAGCTCTTACGATGACTCTTTTTGCGCAATCTCGCGCCACGATTGGACCGTCCACGTCACATTCGCGCCGCTAAGCGCTTTCTCTCCCTACAGTGACATAATTAATCATAGTTACAATAACAATTGTGCATTTGATTTGTTCGCTCGCCTCCGCCATCCATATAGATGCAACAATTAAAGTATATTCTCCGAGCTACACGGATTATCGCAAATGGTGACGGGGGATGCACCGAGTTGTGTCACTACATCATCCTTCGAGGACCGTGTAATTATTCGCGATGCAATATAAAAATTCGACAAACCAATCCAAAAATACCTTACCGCGACGAGATTTTAAAGTAACAAATTTTAATCGGATAAATGACGAGATCGTATTTTATTTCAAATTAGCTTCGTGAAAAATTGTATAGTAAAAAATTCGTTGATTAGATTTGTTCGAGATCGTTGATTAATCATTAAATACTTTTTATTAGCTTCTCACATAATTATGACAACGAAGAGAATTAACTGGTCCCCCTGAAAGGTTATACAAGATATATTGACAGAACTCGGCCGGTCCATGACGCAAGAAAAATGTACAAAAATCGTATCGACGAAAATGTCCCGGCAATCACACCAAGAGCAAAACGGTGAATCGTACTTCATCCTCTTCGAAGATTGCTCTATCGAATTTAATCGAACACTACGAGTTTGATTGACGTGCTTCCCTTATATACATTAACGAACGCGACGTACATGCTTGTATGCGCGCGTCTTGATGCCCGTGTACTCAAACATATTGTATTCTACATATGCATTATCTACGGCCTCGTCTTCGTAGTGTCGCGCACAGCTTTTCTTAACTTATTGACATTATCTCGCAATAAAACCCAAAATTCTAAACATTCCTTAATATTATGGCATAACTTGAATTTCTTAATCTCTTCCCTAACAGCACAGACCTCCAAGGAATGTCTTGAGGACGTCCGTATGTCTTTTGGACATCCTAAGGGTATCCTCAGGATGTATTCCGAATAAAATGTGCTATTAGGATTCCTACTTCTTTTTTTCCACAAGATTAAAATTATTATCGTTTTATATGATAATGTACTGTAAATTCGGAGCAGCTTCCTTCGCGCTGAAATAAACTAGAAAGTGGAAGTACGTACGCCATCACAGATATCTGAATATAAAATATCGTATAGTATACTTAACTATTTAAAGTGACGTTTGTCGGCGAGAGAAAATGGGTCAAACAGGGGTTTTTTTTTACATTAAAAACGTTACCACGATCTTGGTAAAAGTTACAAAAACATGTTTCTTTTTTTTCATTCCGGAGTACATAAAGTGATCTCAATTAGATCCTTTAAGGTCGCGGTAAGTAGTCTGCGGAATGGCAGTGTCGTGGAAATATTGGAAGCTCGCGACGCGGTAGGATGCACGCGTAATTAATTAATTCTAATGGCAATTTTTCATAGTACTTTCGAGTTCAGTCTGAAAAGGAAAGTCGTTCCGTTGGTACGACTTATTGCATAATAGTAAGATTGGTCGCGTCGGATCACAAAGTCTCGAAGGTGCACGACATTAGAAGAGAGATCTCTGAAGAAGGAGAGAACCGTGGTTCTCCTTCAAATGTCTTGGCCGAAATTTATACAGAACAGAAAAATGAGATTGTGCTACGATTAGCTTCGTAGCTTCGTACTCGATTCTTCCGATCGTGTAACGCGCTCCGCGTACAGGAAAACGTTCTACATAGAAGTCTTAGGTTTAATAACGGACTTAAAGTAATCAACGGTACTATTATATATATATATTCGTACGTATATAAACTTTACAATGCAACAGAGCCGAACCGTCAACGATCCGCTTTTTGGAGACTTGGAAGTCCGGTCTCTTCTCCTTTCTTATTCGTTCTCATCCCAATTTTTAATAACATGCGCACATGTACCGAATACAGGATGAGCATGATTTCCAGAATAGCGACAGTTTCGAGCTGCTTTGTATATTTATGAGAAATAAAAACGAAAACTTATTAAATGTTAATAATATAAAAACAAAATTTGGACATTAGAAAAATTAGATTATATAAATATAAACTGAATTATAATAATTTAATATAAATAGCGGTAAATATTAGTATCTATATAATATATATAAGAAATAAAATTATAAGCAAATAGTCAATAACGTATCATAACAAATATCTTTCCATAAATATAAATACATTAAATCTTAGTCTCACAATCAATTGCAAGTGAAATATATTCACTTTAAATAATATTATAATATGTATATATAAAATTTTGTAATAATTAATTGTTATAATTTTTTGATAATCTGTTTTGTAATAATAGAAATTATTAAAAAGAATAAATAAGACGAAGAAAAACTGATATAAATAAAAAAAAAACTTCTCAGGATGGAAGATGCAGCCTGTCACCTGTCTTGTTCATGATACGCGAAGTACTCTCCCATGCTCTGTTCGTACATACAATTAAGTCTTTGGTCTCGAATGGATCGCCCGCCGGCGAAACGACTCGCAGCGGTCTGAGCAAATTGTCGTTTTGGCACGCATTCGTACACGCGATTCGACGATCATCCACGCATTCGGACTTGGACTCACTCACGCACTTCACGCATTCCACGCATGTGTATTATCTCGCGTCGCGTTATAGACAAGGAAGAGGAGAAGCACGTACTTATAGATACTTTCGACTAGTTCTCTCGGCTCGATCAACGAAGACACACGTTTATAGAAGAGGTCTTATAGTGTCGCGTTCTGTCATTATATAGCTGTAAGTATATCGTTGATTAAATACTGTAAAAGCTAATATCTGCAATGCAAAAACTTATTTTTATATTGTAAAATAATAGTGTAACTTAAGTATTTCAGGGATTTAAGATTTTTCATCTCTGGCAAGAAATCATCTTCTACCTGATTTTATATGCACACACGTGTGTTTCTCTATAATCGTTCATCTTCGTTGTCTCGATCCTTCCTGATCTTATTTATGCACGCCTCTCCCTCGATCATCATTAACGAGCAGAACGTAATTTACCTATCGTCGACAGAAGACGTGGCAGTCGATTGGCCCTACGAATGGCCACGAGGAAATTCTTGACGAGACACGAAGGGAAGAGATCAATTTACCTAATCTTTGGCCCACGGAGTTAAGAGAAAAAGGGGCTACCGTGGGGATTGTGACATCCGGGGGACAGATTAGACGGCGATGGAGTAATCCGAGGAGGGATTATTCTGAGTGCTTGGCCGCGACCACAAAGAGCTTCGCAGCCCCAGTTTCAGTTTCTTCAGAGAGTCGATGTCGCACTCGGCCTCGCTGAGCTCCGGTCGGTCTCCGTTCCCCGGCGTGGGTACAACCGCCCCCTGATTGCTGCCGACGAACGCGGTCTCCGCGACCGAGATCGGCGGTAACAGTGTGCGTAAAGAGCTCCTGCTGGGAACATGCCATCTTACGAGATAGCCAAAAGAAACAAGCTTACTGATGGATGTTGTGAATGAACGTTTTGCAGTAAGGGATTAATCAAGTGATTAAATGATATGCACCTCATTAACTTAGTATAATAATTTTTATAATATAATTTTTTAATAATTTTATTATAATAACTGCAGCTACATGATTTTTAAAATTTGATTTACACAATGCAAATGTGCATTGGTAAAGGTTTGACTCAGAATCACTCAAATTGTATTTTTGTATATTTTAAAATTGAAAATTATGACAAAGTGTGTGTGTGGAATTGGTTATTAATTTATACATTTTGCTATTTTATTCGTTACCTTGATCGCCCCCTCCGTGGCAGTGACTTCTGTTCGGACATTGGAGAAATGTCCGAAGACGTGCTCGACGTGCCGTGATAGATAAAGTCCGAGACCGCGCGAACTGAAACGACAGTGCATTAGAATATCGATTAGTTGAGGTTTTAATAAATCTCAGATTAGAACATACTATGTTTTAATTTTCCAGCGTCCAGCTGATTCGACGATTCCGTGCGCGAGCTTATCAGTTGGTCCGGGTCAGACTCGCTCTCGTCGCTCTCGACATCGCCTGGGGTTTGCTGCTTTCTCTGCTGCCGCCTTCTCGACGAGACGCTCTTCATGCTCTGCACAGATTGGATCTTTGTGTGCAAAATACAATTTATAAGAAAATTCTAAATCAGTTCTAATTTCCAACCGAGTTGCATTGTTAATTAACAGTTATATTATTTACAATTTGTACAAATTAAAAATATTATAAGTGTGTGATTTAATATAATATATATGTAAATATAATATATAATTTAATAGTTTAATATATTTAATAATTAATAATTTAATATTATATATATATGTATATGTATATGTATATATATGTATACATATAGTATTCCATATTCCACAAACGCATGTATAATAACATTTACAATGAATTTCAAAACTGAATCAAGTAATAAATAAAATTTTAGTAAAAGAAAGAGGCGTATACCGTCGCCGCCGGTGGAGGGCTCGCGCACCCTTCGGTCATGGCATGCTCGTGATACATGAAGCTGTGTAGAAGAGTGTTGTTCGGGTGGAGACCGGCCGCTGTGGCCTCCGCCGCGCCTCCCAGTCCGCCCAATGCGCCCAATCCTGCCAGGCTTCCCCCGCCACCCTCCGAAAGCTGGAACGTAGCGTACGGCGAAATGTCCTCCGCTGTCTCTGTAACCCATCAGAGGCATTGCCTACCTTTCAAATCGCGTCGGGCTAATTGTCTCAGTCGTTCATCCGTTTCGATCTCATATTCATGAACGAAAACGCACAAAATTGTTTTATCTTTCAATTTAATAATATTATTTCTTACTGCACTAAGACACTAATTTGTGATTACTTTTCATTTTTAAGACTGATTGAAGAATATTAAAGAGATTTTTTCAATTTAAATTAATTAATTCTGATGTGCTTTAAAAACGAATAATATGATAGACACTTTTAAAAAATTAAAAAAGAAATTTTTTTAACAAAATTAAAAACAAATTTTAAGTAAGAGAAAAAAAATGTTTAATAAAATTTTATTAAAATTTATTTCTTTAAGCAGTCTTGTTTTACTGTTGAGCGGCGCTAAAGCCGGCTCGTACCTGCGCAACAGTAATTATAGTACCAAACCTGGTAGTTGTCCATATCGTAACAAAGGTTCACCTGGAATCTTGTCGGGCCCTGCACCCGTATTTGCCGCTTGTTGTAATGCCACCTTATGTATCGTGGCATAATAACGTTCTCGCTGTGTCTCCGCATTCTGTTGATTCTCTTGCGATTCTTTCATCGGCCGTTGCATTTGACCTCCCAAGTATCCTGACAAACACGTTAGTCCTTCTTTACTATACAAATTAAATATTTATTTAAATATCAAAAGACATATAAAAATAATTGAAGCGGAAGGAATACTAAAATAACTATTTAAATATAAAACTTATAATATTTATTTAACAAATTTATAATATAATGTTTAAATATAATATAAAGATAATTTTACGAGAAAAATCTAAGAGGCAATATGTAATTGCATGTTCATTAAACTGAACTTACTATTCTTCCAGCGAAAGGCAACGATCACCGCTGCGGCGACCAAGGCGACAGTAGCCACTAGCAATGGCAGTATCACCTTAACATCCGCATAAAACGGCATGGCCGACGTCATCCCGCGTTTCGACAATCCTGGCGGCGGTGTTTCTGCAAAGTTACAGGAACACAGTGCTTTTGGATATAAACCTTTCAATTTAGTCTCATCGGACGATGCGGACGCATCTTCAATCACCATTATCTTCCGATGAAAGTTGCGTTATATTAATCTTTAAACGCCTCTCTAAGGGAATAACACACTGATGTATGGCAACCTAATTTTTTTTGGTTGCTTATAATTTTC